GTGCGCCGTTTACCCTATGATCAAATGGTTGAAGTTCCAAAGCTCCAAGCTGGCTCATTTCTGGGAGGGAGCATATTTCAGTCTTTCGACCTTTGCGGATGAAAGCAGAACTGGGGCTGGTGTAACTCATTTAATAGCTCCCATGCTGTGGAAGGTATTCCAGCCATCGATAGTGAAGATGTTGACATCCGCGTTATCAAAGATATACTGACAAAATGTTTCACTTGGGATAGGCTGTTCAGAGTGGTAGATGGTGGAAAGTTCAAGTTCTACCGTAATTTGTTCCAACAACTGCTACATAGAGAATTGACAATCATCATTCCCTTCTATGTATTCATAGATTTCTTCTATTGCTGCTGAAATTTCTTCATCCTGAGGGCGTCCTTTTTTCTGTTCGAAGGTGGCTGCTCTTTCATTTTATACAACTAGACTTTTTATAACAATCCTCATGATATAGGTATTGCATCTGCTGCGTGTAAATCCCCGACATTCCAAATACGCCTTACTACATCGTCCCCCCATCCTTCTCCTCCTGTCCACGAACAATAATAGAATTGTGAAACGTAATTGTACGAACCTTAAAAACCACTCATCACGAATGATAAGGTTTTTTTATTTCCCTCTCATCATCGAACGCGTCTATGCAGAAGAAACACTTGAGAATCGACTTTCTCACGTGCTGAACGCAAAGACGGGACATCACGTGATGTGGAAGGTTGCTGTGAAAGTTTTTTAATTGTGTCACTTCTAATATATTCCTTTCTACAAGAAGAGTGAACAACACCACTTGTTTTACTTGTAAAATCTTCATGTTTTCCATCTTTCCTTAACTCGCTTGCCTTTAGCAATTCAATCATCCCTTTTTTCCCTAGCTTATACAAATCCTTTAAAACTTCATTATCACAAATTGAACACTTTTCAGCCATGGCCACAAACCATAAAACACGCAGTTACATACAACTGGACAGATAAAAACAATCGCGCACTGTTTTTTTCTGATTAATGTATGGCTAGCTCTCCCAAACCGTATTTCTCACGATCGTTGTAATTACTATCGATAGTGACATAACATAAAAATGCGATTTTTCAAAATATATCCATTTTCCCGCCTTCATATCTTCTCTATCGCGAGAAAATATGTACCTACCTGAAATCTTTTTTGTAGGAAATCTTTCGAAGAATAACATAGTACCTACTCTAGTATTTTTTCGCTAGAGGCTCTAGTTTTCAAGTAATTCAAGAAAAACGCAAAAAGAGACCTTCAGAGACCCCAACCACCTTAGTTCGCCCCCCACTCATCAGGACTTTTAGTATCTTCTTCAGGACACCTCACCATACATCTATATTAAAATTGGCTTCTACACGAATTATTTCCCCTTTTCGGCCTTTTTTGGTCTTTGTTGCCTGAAATATAATTTGTGTCGGTGTGTTTTTAGTAACGTGGAATAAATTATTTTTGTGTCCAATGGAAGAAAAATTAGCTGTCTCTTAGATTAAAATCAATATAAAACAATTCTTATTGGATATATAAATATTAATTATGTAAGATAATAATATTATAAATAGGCTGAAAGATATTTATTCGAGGATATGCATACAAGAGAAGTGAATCAATCAAGAGTCTAATTGATTATATAATATTTCAAGTAATATTGAAGTAAGACTATCACAATATGAAGCTTAAGAAACTTCCAATATAGTGGATCCTTTACCAAATCAATTATTCCAAGATGTTTCAGCTGATACTTTTAGTTGTGCTGACAAACATTATATGGTTTACGTGGACCGCCTCTCAGGATGGCCTTCTGTTTCTCAGTATTCTATTACCGAATACCAAATTCAAGCAAAATTATACACAGATTGAAAATAACATCTCTGGAACCGAAACGAACTAGCCGAATGAGAAAGGCCAGCCCTAAACGTCATTCTCTTTGGAATAAAAGAAAATATTTCTTCACCAAATGAAAAAGACTGTGATCTGGACAAGGCAGTGAACATGTTAAAAAAAGTAAAGTAAGTTTTTTTATTTTTAACCATATCTGAAATGTTGTCATTGCTGACTTTTCAAAAATTTGAAAATGTCACATTTCTGTCTTTTCATTTTCCTGCTCCATTACCTGTCCCAGGACGGGAAATGGAGCAGGGAAATATTTCCCGTCCTCATTCCCCGTCCTCATTTTCCGACCGTATTTATTTTATTTTTTTCAAGAAATTATGGTTAAAAATAAAATAGTATACAAACCTCGACGGGAATCTTCATTGCTGTCTATATAACCTCTCGATCAGCAATGAAGCATTTCCCGTCTCGGATTGTAATATAGGTACTATTATTTAGCAATTCTCTAGACAGTAATTAGGTACATTACATATGCACTTAATACCAAGATTTAATTATTTTGTAAGTAAGTAAACAAACAAAAAAAAATGTGTATGCAGTCATAAGTCAACAATTTGAAACAACAGGTTCAGTTGAATCGCTATGGCTTGAAGCAAAAGCAAAAAACGACACGACAAAGATGGAGTCAAGCATGAAATCATGCAAAGAGTACGCAATGATCAAAACACAGAACTGGAAATACAGAGAGAACCACTGCTCAAAATAAATAACGGAGAAAAAGCCAATAAGCAAATCAAACTAGTCAATGAAGCGCTGCAAGAAATACTCGATGAGGACCCTGATGAGTACAATAATAAAACAAAACTAAACCAACTAACATATGCAGCAGCCAACGAAGACAGTGCAAAACATCCTAATCCCCAAAAAAGATGGCAATTGAAAGAATGCTCAAAGCCCCAACTATCAAAACGCATGGAAGAAGGCAAAGAGAAACTATACGCTCAATATAACATAAAAAACAAAAGAGACTATACCCAGAGCACAGAAAAGCTGAAACAGCAAATTGCTGAGCCAAGTTAAGTAAGTACATAAAAAGATCGCTACAATTCCAACAAGATAAACTCTATTTCAGGAAATCACAAGCAAGCTCTATGCTAGCTTACTAGGGAGCAACAACGAAATCAATAAGGCCTTATCGGAAGACGAGGTAAGAGACTATTGGCAGCAGATACGGAGAAAAGACACCATACCTAACACAAAAGCAGAATGGATACAAACGGAATACGAGAGAACATCAACCAGGGGCGGCTTCTCAATAAGTGCGCTCGTGCGCGCGCACTGCCTCCAAAAACCAAGCAAGAAAATAAAATTAAAATTTTGGAAAGAAAAGAAACTTCAATTAAAAAATACCTACCCAATTTTCTAAATTAGGATAAATATCTACTCATTTTTCTATTTTTAAATTCGCACGAACGGAACGAAAGCGCGCCCTGCGCCTGTCTTGTATATTTTTTTCTCCCGCTTGGTTGTGCTGGTGGTCCGGGTGGTCGGTGTGGAATCGTTCGGCGCTCTGGGTAAATGTGTTTTCTCGCTGTGCGATTGATCGGGAATATACGGTAAGTCGCCCGATGAAAGGGATGCGCCGTGCGCTATTTGAATACACACTTCCAATGTTGTTTCCACTCAATCGAGAATATTTCGATGTTTTTTCACCATTTTGGCGGTTTGACAACTCTGTTGTTCGCGGTTTTTTTTTTAATTATAAATTTCAATATCAATTATGTATTATGGCTAGAATACAAACATTCAAGCCCCATTTAAATACATATATTTTTGTTTTCGATAATTTTTCATAAAGTAAAGATAAAAAAATTCAACATACAAAATAAATGTAGAACAGGACGTGGCACCGTGGCACCTCCAAAAAATTTTCCAAGAGCGCACAACCACACTAGATTGCCACTGGCCGCCACTGACATCAACGGTAAAAAGAATGGAAGGCCAGACATCACACAGGAAAAGGTTGTGACAGCACTAGGCAGCACATCAAACTAGAAACCCCCAGGATGTGACGGAATCCCCAACTTTTGGTGGAAAACACTAAACGCGACGCACAATATATTGACAATATATGACAAACAAAATCTTCCCGAATGGCTAACCAGAGGGAAAACTTACCTGATCCCCAAAAGTGAAAAAGCCAGTCACCCAAAAGACACGAGGCCGATTACGTGTTTGATCACCTACAAACTGCTCACAAAGATTATAACAGAAAGAATTCAACAACATCTTACGCAAAATAAGCTAATACCAAACGAGCAGAAAAGCTGCATCAAAAACACTTACGACTGTAAGGATCATCTGCTAACCATCAAACCATCCACCATGATGATAGATGACAGCGTGCCGCACAGCTGGCTGATATAAGCGCTCAACATATATAGAACAAACGCCACTCTCCTTTTGTTCATAACTAAATCAATGAGAACCTGAAAAACCGATTTGAATCTTAGGATGAACGATAAAACCGTCACAGTCAAGGATCGAGGACATGCACAAGAAGCGGCATCTACCAGGGTTATTCGTTATCTTCGTTGCTCTTCTGTATGGCCCTTTACCCCTTGAGCTCCATATAAAGCGATACAAAAACAGGATATACATGCAAGAATGAAAAACAAATAATCCACCACCATGCAGAGACAATGTTTAGGAGGGGGACATTTGGATGTAGAAAAATATGCTCCGACTTTTAGAGTGGAGACATGCACCTAAAGTTGATGGTAAATCACCTGCAGAAATTTTATATTGTCATCCCATTCGCTCTCTTGTTCCAGCACATTCTAAAGTATTTACTCCAGAGTTGAAAAAAATAAAAAATAAATACGAATCCTAAAAATTACAAATTAAAATAAAAGTTATTGCAATAAATAGAAATGCTAAAGATTTATCTGAAATCCATGTTGAAAGTAAAGTCGAAATACAAGACCCTATTTCCAAAAATTGAAAAGCATATACTTAGCTGAATATGTATATACTTCAATTGTTCAGTTACAAATCTATTTTGATCAAATTTCAAATTCCGGATCGAAACATTTCCTCAATCAAAGTCTATTGAAAAGGGCAATAGAGAAAAAACACATCATGTCTGCCAAGGGCTTAGGTATAGAAGAATATAATCCAAACATTTCTATGTTTTATTTTAAACAAAACTTGAGCAAATATTGAACCTCTAACTACTATCAAATAGATAATAACATGTAATGATGTCATTAAAAAAACAACACAAATAGACTAATGGTATTAGCATGTATTGGCATAATCTCACTAAGGTTAATTCGCCATAATCGTGTCGGTTTCGCCTAGATTCTACCAGTTCAAAGTCTATTGGCTTTTGTACTTTTAGCAATAAAAAAAACAGACAGGGACACAAATATATTACAATAAACAATAACAAAAATTACCCTAATTAGTTGCAGAATTATCACTGGTCGTGTTTGCCTTGTGTTTCACCAATTTTGTAAGGCCCAACACGTCACTGATACCTAAAAATAATACAATTTTATTAGAGAAATATTGTTTTTAATACAAGAATTATAATTTAATTAGAATTTTTTGATTTAAATCTCTAGTAATGTAAGTAGGTAGGTATATGTTAAAATTTTCATTGATACATACCAGACAAAATATTCGAACTCTTCTCTTGGTCGTTGGTAGAAATATTTTTGGTGACCTTAACTTGCTTGTCAGGAAAAACCGGTAAGTTGCTCTCTTTCAAATCAGCTACGCTTCCATTGTTGCTGAAAACGAATTTTCCCAAATTTGAAGGTAAAATTCCTGTTAGAGCTGTACCAGTGACGTTGGTTTCAAGTGGTAGAGGAATATTGGACAGGTCGATGAAAGAACCATTGTCTTTGGGGTCGAAGAAAGATATATCGATTTGTTCGTGACTAAATACAAAAGGAAATTTTACATGTTTGATTTTGAACTAAAATAGTCACAAACTTACGTTTTGTTGTCGTAATCTGTGTTGTTGTCTGCGTCAGTTAAAATGCCAATTTCGTAGACGACTTTTCTGATAACGTATCTGTAACAATTATTTATTAGAAGCTACAATAGTATATGTATATAAGAAGGAAGAAATGTTCTATTCAATATAATTAATAAAGGTAAACAACGAAAAATAATAATTATTACTTACAGATCTTTGACTCCATTAACTTGTGGTTCTTCGACAGCAGCTGTGGCTTCTTCATTGCTACTATTCTCTTGGCCTTCTTGGACTAGAGGACTTCCACAGGCACTAATTGCCAACAGAAAAGCAAAAATTAGGTATTTTTGCATGTTTTTAGGAAAATTTTGATCTCACGTGTTGTTGAGTTAAATTTACTTAACTAAATTTTAAAGGTAAAGTTTGGGTCTTTATAGCGTAAGCGAAATCCACTTTTGATTAGCACCTAGTGACGATTGGTGTGTTTGATTAAGACTTGCTAATTTATCTTTGGTTCATTATTATTGGGGATTTTCTTGGAATAAATAATATATTCGAAACGCATTAGTTACTGGAATTTGGCAACATATTGAAGCTTAGACTGTATAATTTTATTCATAGTAGGTAGATAGCTCATTGAATTAGAGGGCAAGAATTGTTTTTCAAATACGTTATAATAGGCCTTTAAATTTCCGTCCTTAAAATTTGCAATCAGTGACGCTTAAAGTGTTAATAACAAATAATAATTCGTTGTGCAGCAATGAATAGTTTATTCATGAGAAAAAAGTCCCCTTATAGGACGACTGAATTAATTTATTCCAATCCAATTTATTCACGTGATGTAAAATCTGTTTTTTTTTTAAAAGATAAAAGTCAAAATGACATTATGTTGGCAATACAATGTAAAATTCTCAATGCTTTCAAATTTTTTATGTAGAAAAGGCTTGTGTTACCAACATAGTTACTAAATTTTTGACTTGGGGATTTATCTTTAAAAAAAAACAGACTTTAGGATGGTCCAAAATTAGAGTTTTCTGCTTCAGCTCTATGAAGGTGTAAAATGAATTTCTGTTGATGATCAATTGGTGGGAAATGACATCTTCATCAACAGATACGGGGCGGTCAATTTGGATGTCCATGTCATCACATTGTCATGGTCTGTACCACAGCCCCCTACATTTAACAAGCCATGAAGTTAAAAAGGCAACACCGCAATCTTACCGCCAAGTGGTGCTGGTGGTGTTTGTTTGTATAAATATATAGGTATTTTTTATTTTATTAATATGAATCACAAAAAATACATAATTTATTGTACTAAAGGGTCAAAAACAGTAATTCAATGAATAATTTAACTATTTGTGTAAATAAGAACAGTAAATAATTGATTTAAATGAATATATTTCTAGAGTCTAAAGTGTTATAGGCCTATGTTCTATGTTTCAGTATGTCTTTTGAAAATCTAACTTTTTCTTTCTTCGGGATTTTTTCGGAAGGCAAGTCCATTCAAATACTTGAGCTGATTTTCGAAAATAAGAGGTACCTGGTACCTACTTTTAAGAGTTGGACGTTTTAGTTTGAACTCTCGAACTACGCCTTTATCCTTGTTTGTTTCAAATCTAATTATTTCGGTTTCTTCAAAATGTTTACAACACACCACAGAATTTTTCGTTATTGTATAATCTCGGGTATAATTATCTTGGTGTATTGCTTTCATCCACATTTTTGCACTTCAGAATTTTTTTGGAAATAAAAATGTTTGCATTTCTTCAGTTTTTAAGGAACTCCTAATAGTTCGATTTGCACCCAGGAACACAGTAGTTTCATGGCATCTGGAACAAGTTTAAATATCTTAGGTAATATATCGAGACCTATGCTCTTGCAGACAAATATTAATATTGTTTTTATTGTTTTACCTTACCTTACCTTCATTTTTGCTCCTGTACCCATTTGCTAAAAATTTGCAATCAAAGCACAAAGGAACAGGTATCAGCTAAATATGGGCAATATATTGGTGTGTTTCTATCCACTTTTTCGTCAATAATGCCCATAAAAATACTAAATTGCAACAATACACAATGAAAGCAATACACAGAAACACATAACCCAATAACAAAATAGCACCATACGCGACGTTGCCGTCATTTCCAATTTCATGGCTTGTTAACTATAGGAGGCTGTGTCTGTACCTGATGGTGTCGGTACGTTCTTGTCAATTTTACATTACAATACATTTGTTTTTGTTAGTTTTTGTCGTTTTTGTCTTTGATAAATTATTACTTCTAACTTCCATTAGAATTGTATCTAATGAGGCTTGTAAAGTCTGTAACTATTCTTCTAGCATTTTATTCTCTTTTTCTAAGACCTCATACCTCCTTTCTAGTGACTGAAATGTTGATAAAGGAACTAGGGTGCGATATCGCAACTTTCAAGTCATCATTTTGCATTTCATTTTCGGTTTTAGGATATTGGGAATTAGAATCGGGAATCTTTTCAGGACTAGGATCAAAAATAGGGGGTTTCGGCATCTTGCCAATAGCGCAAGAAGCCAGCTTTTTCTTCTGCAACAAAAGGTTATTTTTCTTGGCTGAAGACTTGTGATAAAATATATCTAGGCGATTTGGCATGCAAATTGCAGGGCTTTATATGTATAGCACGAAGCAAAATTACAACACAGTGACATTTTATCATTGAAATTAAAATCTGAACACAATCATAATAACCCACATAAGCCCAATAGAAATGTTTGGGTTTTTGCCAGCCCTCTGTATATAAAATCTGTTTTTTTTTAAAAGATAAAAGTCAAAATGACATTATGTTGACAATACAATGTAAAATTCTCAATGCTTTCAAATTTTTTATTTAAAAAAGGCTTGTGTTGCCAACATAGTTACTAAATTTTTGACTTGGGGATTTATCTTTAAAAAAAAAACAGACTTTAGGATGGTCCAAAATTAGAGTTTTCTGCTTCAGCACTATGAAGGTGTAAAATTAATTTCTGTTGATGATCAATTGGTTGAATTTCAGTTCAATTCATGAACTTATGAGACTTCTGAAATAATTTAATGGGAAGCGCGCTGGGGAAGTTCAACTTCCCATGCGATGTTCTTTTGATGTTTATGTAACGTCTATGTGACTGCCGAATGTCCGCAACACATGAAAGTTTATAGTTGTTACCTACAGAAGTTGACGTAACATCACAACGCGAGGTTATCAGTACTTCGCAATAGGGTTGCATGTGAACATCTATAGAACTTAGCTTTGAACGTTGACAGAACATCAAAAAGGGACTTTTATCTAACATCCCATAGAGATTACAGATTGAAGTCTTTTCAACATTACTATTAGATTTTCAAAGAACTTCTATAATAAGCTACATTATTACCTATGTTTATTAACAAAGAAAATATTTATTTTAATAGGTGAAAAATTATTATTTTTTGTAGAGATTTAAATCTTATAAAAAAAAAATACATACCTACTTTAGACTTTAGAGGTATAAGTACATATTCTTAATTCTACAAAAAATACTAAATTTTTTACATATCAAAATGAATATTTTCTTCATCAATAAACATATATGAAGTACCTATATTGTTATGAATTATTTATGCAGGTTCAATAAACGTAAATAGGTATAACTTTTAGGAGAAAAAATAGTACATTGAAAATATCCTAACTAAAAAAACAATTAGCTTGCTGATTCAAATTTTATTGGATTAGGTATTATGTTGGTACATATACGTACATAATACACTACATATTCATTTTTTGATCTCATCTCTCAAACATCTCTGTTTGGCATGACGAAGCCACTCCATTACAATTGATTCAACCGCCTTAGTGGAGCATTTGAACATATGGTGTGTGGTAGCTGAAAATAATGTATAAGACATATATTTGTCATATGTCGAAGAATATTTAGTATATATGTACATAATTTCTAATAGAAGGTGACAAAGGGTAGTCTTTCATAAACAATCATGCCTATTACGTTATTTTTATCTACTTCTACTCCATAAAACATTATCACATAAATTGTTGCAGAAGGCTTAATACTTCCTACCAAATATACTTAAGCTGCATCAATTTCAAATTCCCCACTTCGAAATTTCCTTTCCTGCCAGTCCAGGAACACAATTCAGCTAGGGAATTCGAGAATAAACTTTTTAGGCGACTGTCACAAAAAGATTAGTTTTACGGATTCAATATCATCCCTAAAGTATATCTTTTTTGGCCGCATTTACTTTACGGCCGCATTCACTTCACGGCCGCATTTACTTTATTACTTTACGGCCGCTTTCACTTCACGGCCGCTTTTGTATGCACCTCGGCCGAATGATCTTTTTTGTCCTCACCTGAAATTTGCTTGACCTCGGCTGCGCCTCGGCCGCAAATTTCTGATTCGGCCAAAAAAGATCAACTTTACGGCCTTGGTACACAAATAACTATTTCAAGACCCTAACGATTCAGGAGGAGACCTGATTGGGGTTGGGGCAGGACCAAGCGGCTCATTTTGACTAGAAGAGGCTCGAGATGAGGACAATAGTAAGGCCGAATCAGAATTATGTTTTAGGCCTTTTATAATCTGCTGCCTCAATCTTCTCTTTTGCCTTTCCGAAAGAGCTTTTATTGGCTTACGCGAACGATGCATATTGAAATACCCTATATTTATTTGATATTATAATTGAATGGGTACAAAAACATGTTTGTACTTACCGCCTCTCCAGTCGTTGACCCTAATCAAAGCAAAACCAAGAATGGAGAGTGTTTTTACTTTTTTTTTTCACACTAATTTACACAATCACAGCAAAAGAATAATTATTATTGCACATTGCACAAAGGTAAAATCGTAGAAAAGCCCCAAAAATGTAAAGTTAGGTGCTCGCACGCGTGCAGGCAGTGGGCATCGCTTGGAATGATAAAAAACAGGTGGGGAACAAGGAACCTTTCTTTCAATTATTGCCAAAATGTTGTTCTAACATAACTCGGGTATGTTTAAAAATCCGTTATAAAGTACTTCCACTTAGTGATGGGACTTGAACATCGATGTATCGTGAACATCGATGTTATTGCTTTCGATATTCGATGTTTTAGCATCGATGTCAGAAGTTACAAAACATCGACATATCGATGTTTGAACTATCGATATTGGATATTGCGAAAAGTACGCCAAACTGGCCAAACCTACACTCAGAAAAGAAATATATTGAAAGGGCAAGGAAAAAATTATTAGCCTTGGTATTTGCACAGTTTTGTTGTAGGTCGTATTTTCTGGAAACTCTAGGAGTTTTGGTGTTTATAAAATTTGATTCCTATTCATCCTGTAATTATTTTATTCGTGTTTTTGCTTTTTGTTCAGACGAAGGTTTTTTCTTGTCTTGTATAAGTGTATCTTTGTTTTATAAATAT